TATTGATTTCTTTCAGATTATTAAATTGTACTTTAACCCCTCCGCTCCTTCTTATTTTTTCACATGTTTAGGTGCAACTCTTGAGAAGTGGCCTGGGACCAAACCCTCCAGCATTGGTGTCGCAATCAATGCCAAGATCACAGAACTCCGAGCCAAAAGTAAAAATGTCTCTGTCCCAGAATCCCCTTAGATGGCTTGTTTGTCACACTTTGTGTGAGGATATAGATTGTCATACTGTAAGTGGGCAGGTTTTTATCAATCCTTTGTTTTGCCCAAGTTGATACTTGAAAGTTCTGTATGGTAGCTATTGCAGCCAAAAACTATGCCATCTTGTTTGCTGTTTTCACGAAAGAGTTCAAATAAGGCAAAATGTTTTGAGATCAGTATTCCACTGTAATGTCAGTTCACTGCAAATTGAGGTAATAAAATTTAAAGTTTGCTCGGCATTCATGTTTTCTTCAGTATTACAGATGAAGTTGTTGAGAGGCATTTATAGACTGCAGAGCTGTAAATAATGCTATGAAGTAGTTGTTCTGTAAGCAAACTGGGTAGTCTATGAACTGCTAGTGTGTAATTCACTTTAGTACATCTACAGTTGGAGAGGGACAAATTTATGTGTTAATTTGTTTCTTAAAGTAGTAATTTGAATCTGTATAAAATTATGAATCAAACATATGTGTTTTTACAAGTAAAGTTTTAAAAATACTTACAGGAAAAATATAAATAAAAAATAGTTGACCATGATATTGTATTGCCTTAACATACAAAAAAAAGACATGTAATGGCACAAATTCCTATATTTTTTTGTTAAATTACATATAATATACATATAAAAACATACAAAAAAAGGGATAATGAACCTGCATAGTGCATTTATTTTACATACAGAAAACCTATATACAACAGCAGTTGTTCATATATGTAAAGTCTATGTTTTTTTCACAGTCATACGGTGAAAAAGTGAATAAATTATATGGGACATCTATGGAAAATATATATTGAAATGTACTTTCCTTATAAACCACATAAAAAGTTTTGATGTGATCCTTATCTTATCCTTTTTATTATCATGTATGAAAGAAATGCAAAAGTGGCCACTTTCAAGAGTAAATCATATAAGTCTTATATGATGCACAATACATGAAGCAAACTAATGGTGACACAAATATTTTATAAGTTTTTTATGTTTCTTTTCCATATGGGATGGGCTAAGTCTAACTCCGTCACTCCCTGCAGGTGTAAACTGAGGGAAACGTTTCATAGATCTACACTTTTGAGGACTAATATTGGTATGGAAGATAATCTTATTAATATTAATTTTAGATCAATGGAGGAAGCAGAGTCAGGGTAGATTGACCCCTACCGATCTGGCATGTAAACTCTGCCTCCTTCACTCCCAGCAGGTGTAAACTGAGGGAAGAGGGGTAGGTAGAGGGAAACAGTTCATAAATCTACACTTTTGAGTACTAATAATGGTAGGAATTAATGTATTGCTTTAAGATAAAGTTTTGATAACGTCAGTGTTGATAAATTACGTGATTGAAATGTAAGATTAGGTGTAAGGGATTTTAGAGGAATTAGAGGAGAGTAGTCATGGTATGGTATAAGTCCACTAACTGTGGTTAGATTTGAAGTCCTCTTCAGGTGTTTAAAAATTTAGATATTTAATGGTTAGGAATGAATTCCAATGACATTAGGCTGAGTGACTCACTCTGTCACGGTGAGGTGGTCATGTTAAGACTACATCTCAAAAGATATCCAAGTTTAATATTAGGTTTATCAACCTTGGGGTGTTGTTTTGTTCTTTTTTTTATTGTAACGTTTGATGGTGAATCCACCCTGTTACAGTTTAATGGTGAATCCACCATGGTACCGCTTAACCATGAATCCACCCTGATACCCTTTGAAGGTGAATCTACCCTGTTACAGTTTAAAGGGATAGTTCGGTATTTTTGACATGAATCTGTATGGCATCCCGATCACCAGCGGCATGCAATCACACTGACTTACCCCTGGCAGCGTCCTGTGAGCAGAGTTATCGTCCAGTTTTGGTCAAGCCGAAAGTAGTCCTGCAGGTTTTTAGGTACAGCGAAATAAAACGTTTCTCTTCCCAAAACATTATGTGTCCAAAAGAGTGATATTTTCGCATCCCAAAAACATTGTAGTGGAAAAAGTCACACGTCGTTATCAATTGGTCCTATTTTCTCTCTGTTCGTATCAGTGCGCGCCGTCATTCAGACAGCGAGCCCAACAACAGCCATGTCTCCTTCCGCGGCGGAGGAATGTTTTGGGAAGAGAAAAGTTTTATTTCGCTGTTCCTAAAAACCTGCAGGACTACTTTCGGCTTGACCAAAACTGGACGATAACTCTGCTCACAGGACGCTGCCAGGGGTAAGTCAGTGTGATTGCATGCCGCTGGTGATCGGGATGCCATACAGATTCATGTCAAAAATACCGAACTATCCCTTTAATGGTGAATCCACCATGGTACCGCTTAACCATGAATCCACCCTGATACCCTTTGAAGGTGAATCTACCCTGGTACCTTTTGATGTTGAATCCACCCTGGGACCGATGATAGTGAATCCACCATGGTACCGCTTAACCATGAATCCACCCTGATACCCTTTGAAGGTGAATCTACCCTGGTACCTTTTGACGTTGAATCCACCCTGGGACCGATGATAGTGAATCCACCCTGGTACTGTTTAACTCTGATTCCAGCCTGGTACCCTTTGAAGGTGAATCCACCCTGGTACCCTTTGATGGTGAATCCACCCTGGTACCCTTTGATGGTGAATCCACCCTGGTACTGTTTGATCGTGAATCCACCCTGGTACCCTTTGAAGGTGAATCCACCCTGGTACTGTTTGATGGTGAATCCACCCTGGTACCCTTTGATGGTGAATCCACCCTGGTACTGTTTGATGGTGAATCCACCCTGGTACTGTTTGATGGTGAATCCACCCTGGTACCCTTTGAAGGTGAATCCACCCTGGTACTGTTTGATGGTGAATCCACCCTGGTACCCTTTGATGGTGAATCCACCCTGGTACTGTTTAATGGTGAATCCACCCTGGTACCCTTTGAAGGTGAATCCACCCGTGGTACCCTTTGATGGTGAATCCACCCTGGTACTGTTTGATGGTGAATCCACCCTGGTACCCTTTGAAGGTGAATCCACCCGTGGTATGTTTTGATGGTGAATCCACCCTGGTACTGTTTGATGGTGAATACACCTTGGTACCCTTTAACCATGAATCCACCCTGGTACCGATGATGGTAAATCCACCCTGGTAGCATTCAACGATGAATCCACCCTGGTATCGTTTGACGGGGAATCCACCCTGCTACCGTTTGATGGCGAATCCACACTAGTACAGTTTAACGATGAATCCACCCTGGTACCGTTTGATGCTGAATCCACCCCAGTACCAATGATGGTGTATCCACCCTGGTACCGTTTGGCAGTTATCCAATCTGCTACGCTTTGATAGAGAATCCTCTCTGTTAGCCTTTGATGGTAAATCCACCCTGGGACTGATGGTGAATCCACCCCTGTACCTTTTGATGGTGAATCCACCCTGGTACCATTTGATAGCGAATAGTTTGTGCCTTCAAGTCATTTACCCATAGGAAGACATTACTTGGATATAATAGAATATCTTCAGAACAGCTCCAAATGACACAAAACTCATATGAGTGAGTAGAACATGATGTCATAACGTAAAATCAAGGGCTTAATGTAAAAAAAAAAAAAAAAACGTGTTCCCCTTTAAAACTGGGTTTTATTAAAAAGAGTCAAAGCAAATTGTTGGAATTCACTCATTGTTTTTATTGTTCTGTACAATAAAGCATCACAGGTCTTCCTCCTAAACCCTTTCAAACATGGTAAATAAGAGCAAAACAAACACAATGGGGGGTGTTGGATCATAATCTCCTTGGTTTATCATCAACTTCATTTTCAACTAAAACCCTTTCAATAAATCTGACTCCACAGAAGGCAGGAGGCGAAGCAGTGAGCAGGACGACTATCATTCATGGCCTTTTTAGTCTCTGCTGAAATAAACCTGCAGTTTAGACGATGTTCGTAAATCCAAGTCAATTTTCTACAAATAAGAGGAAATAAGAGAAAACAATGTGATCGTACAACAAAAAAGAAAAAAACTGATTTACCTTACATCAAAATCACTGCATCATCTGCAAATCGATGATCTATAGAAATAGACATGTGAGATGGTCATTTATTAAAGAGTGAGAACATAAAAATCCAACTCTCCTACCTTAAAATAAAGTTTTAAAATGATTTTCGTTTATTTTTCTTGAACTTATTGCCTTTTTGTGTTGTTCTTCTTCAAGAGGGAAACACATCTTATTGGCTGCACGTTATTCTCCACATTTAGAGAATAAAATTCATCATGTAAGCTGCAATATGGAATGAATTACAAAGTGATGCCGCATACAGAAGTTCTGCAATAATCTGTGGTCTTCAGAAACACTCTGGGAACCCACACCCTGCTCTTTCCTCATGTAGCGAGGACCAATATTTTTATTAATAATTTATTTTTATCTTTCTGACCCTGAAGATAACCTAAACATTCCTGGTAACTACCTCACCCTAATCTGAATCTGAATTCTGTTCACACTTTAGTCCTCAACTTACCACCAGAGAAAAAGTGAGGATCAGATGAAGGTCCTCAGTTTGATGTTAAAACAGAGCAAACACACTAAACCAATATACATTCATCTGTATAAGTATCCTAAAGCAAAAGTGTTTAAATAACAGGAAGGTATTTTGACTTTCAAACACTGAAGTAACGTCTTTATTAAGCTTGGAAAAACTTCAACATGCGCTCATTTGTAGCATTTATTCGGGAAACACGAACCATCGACAAGCATTTTTATCTTTGCATCTGTTTTTATAACGATGGAGAAGAAGAGCTGCTCTGAAGTTAACACAAAGGATTTCTATCTATCGAAATAAGAGCAAACAAGACAAATTCACAAAATAAATTTGAGTGTATTTAAAGGAAAAGACACATAAATATGTCAACAACAAAAAAAAACTCTTAGAATTATCAATAGAAATAACTTTAAAGCAAGAATCAAGGATGACTTTTTACAAACGTTTTACATTTCAGGTCATTTAGCCTGTTTCTGAAGGTTAACTCCTCACAGGGAACCAGTCGTTCCAGATGTTCAGAAAAAAAGTGCAAATTCTGCAAAACCTTCAACCAAAGCAGGAAGATGAAAACCAGAACCAAAGAAACGGACGACAAACACTCAGCACATTATAGGGGTGATGAGCAACATGGACAGCAGAGATTTATACGTCCTGGTCTTAGAACGGCGTCATTCTGTGCAAATAAAAAGATTAGGAACAAGTTCCCCAAACCATCATTTCATTGACTTTTATAAAATGCAAACAAAAAGGTGCAAATGAGAAGACATTAAACTGCGTGTTTAAGGTGGACTAGGTCAGGTCCTTAATGGGACATTATTTCGCTGAAGAGTCCAAAGCAATATTTTAACGCGCTAATGGAGCGCCTCCACGCAGATTTGCTCCTCGCTGATGTCGTCCAGCAGCTGCACTTCCACAGGGCTGCAGGTGTCGCTGTCGTACACCTCCGGTCCCATCAGGACTTCTTCCTCCAGACTCTCTGCTTTGCTCTTCAAGCCTTGCTGCTCTGAAGGAGACATGCTCTCCACCATCTCCAAGTCCTCAATGCCAGCCCGGTAGTGGATCATTAGAAGCGTCAGTGCCTGAAGTCTCTCCCCCGACTTGGCCAGGGCAGTGCTGATCAGAGCCTTTCGCCGGGCGTCTGTAGTCTCCTTCTCCTCGTTCATGAGGGAGTTGTTGTGCTCCAGCTCCTGGTCGATCTCTTGCTGTAGTTTGTCCAACATTAGCTCCAGCTTCTGTGAGCGCTCATCTGTGGGCAGGCCTCGGTACAGGTCGCGGCCTATCTCCTTGACAGCAATGAAGACGCTGTCATCCAAGCCACCCTCTTTCCGTATCAGTTTACTGCTGCCGGGGGGCAGTTTGGACGGGCTCGCCCCGCTGGTGTAGGTCTCCGTATCGCTGCTCTCATTGTCGGATGTGTTGGGGGTTTGCTTGGGCGAAGGCTCCACAGTCCCAGGCACCACGTCGGTTACCTGCTCAAGTCGAGTCTTGGGCGCCTGACGGAGGTTGAGCAGACGCGAGCTGGTATTGATTATGTGTCGTGTTAACCCTGTTGCCCGGTTTATGGTGGATTTAGCTTCGGGGTCTGCACCACGACGTTCGGCCGTCGCCACACAGAGAGGACTTTCAGCAAGGCACTTATCCTGGCACTTTTTATGGCAAACATAGGAGCAAATGATACACTGCGAGGCCGCCTTAGTCCACACCTTCTTTTTGCAGTATTCACACCAGGTAGGGTTCTGGAACTGGGTGTCCTGGAAGTTGTGACGGACTTCTGTTGACTGCAAGGGGCTATAAGCCAAGTCGTCACGCGGCACAGAGGGAACAGGTTCTCTCTCCCTCAGATCCTCATCATAGAGGCTGCCCTCTCGCTCCCGTTCGACTGACCCTACTGGATACTCCAACTCCCCCTCTGCCAAGTAACAGAAGTTTAAGGTAACGTCTCCGTAACACAGTTTCTCATTAAAACCCTTGTGGGTACTAAGGTTGCGTAGTGCGGTGCGGCTGACATTTGCTTTCGGCTCAGGAGCCCCCAACCTAAAGGTGCTCTGGTACTCAGCGGAAGATGTGGCCATACATTCCAGAGCTATATGCTCCAATGGGAGGCTGGCATGGCCCAGACACAACAAACTGCCTAGCTTAAAGGGATCTTTGCACCAAAGGGCCACATTGAGATACTTGTGGTTACTCTCCACATCAAACACCACAGAGGCCTTGGACCAGCGTGCCGTATGTTTGCCAAACATCGTTTCTGGGGATTCCCAGAGGCAGTGGTCATCCAGACTGTCTCTTGTACTAAAGGAGCTTTCTGAAACTTTGTCTTTTGATTGATCTCCCTTGCTGCCGGTAACAGAGTAAGAACTGAGCGTCTCGTCGCTTGATTCTGCAGCCTTTGTAAACGGTTTTCCTTCAGATTGTTTCGTACACGTTTTATCCGTGCCGCTCTTATCCTCAGTGGCTCCACAAACTGGAACCTTCTCTGTAGATTTTTCAGAAATACCGGCGGAGGCAACCATTGTAGGAGCAGGAATCACAACGGCATTTGAAATGGAATCAACGCTTTCAAGAAGACTGGTTTCTGAGGACGCCGATGTCAATCTGATCTGTGGTCTCGGTGGCACCGGGGGACGTGAGGGAGGAGGGGGAGGAAGGACAGTTGGCCGATTCAGACTCTCACTAGGTTCAATACCAGTTTTATGCGGTGATGCTTTGGCTGATTCTTTGGGCTGGGGCTTCAATGGAGACTGGAGACCAACAAGGTTCAACTTTCGGTTTAGGATGGGCGAGATGGTACCGAGTGGCTTGGATGCCAAATTCGCCACGGTTCTTTTAGGACTTTGGTTAACAGCAAGTAAAAAATCCTCCTTTGTGTCACTAATATTAGTGGTACTGATGTTGGGTCCACTAGGCTGGCTGACTTTGGAGTCCAGGAGCAACTCCTCGAACTCAGAGTCCATGTCTTTGCTGTCAGATACGTCAGAAAGAGTAGTAATTGGAGCCGGGTCCTCCTCGTATCCTGATGGCTGTGCTACGAAGCCTGGCTCCTCCAGCGGACCCAATCCCTCTTGTAGTGCTCCAGAGGTTGGGGCCTGATGACGAACCGGTCTCTCATATAGAACCACCACCCTTTCTCCTGCTTGTTTCAACAGTTTTGGTACTTGAACTGAAGATGTTACTTTGACACCTGTTTAAAAAAAAAAAAAAAAAAAAAAAGGTAAACATTTTAGGACATTAAATGAAAGTGCACATTTTTTCCCTCTGGAAGTGGTTTTGTGTCCTGAACACGATACCTCCAATAGCAATCAGGCGATCACCCCTCTGGAGGTCAGCCAGGGCTGCGGGGGAGTTGGGGATTACTGTCTCTATGCTGACATAAACTGCATCCCCTTCACAGGCAGGAATGTGCCTAAATGTCATCCCCACACTGCCACATGGTCCCTTGATAACCTCCGTCTGAGGAAAACACAATGACAGAAAATTGATCAGTTAAGTAGATCAATATTTTAGAAGCTACGAATATTGGATTCCAACCATTTGTTGGCAAAGATTCATTGGATTATGTAATATGGAAAGCATTCAACCATGAGGTGAAATTACTGCAACAAGTAATTTCCCGATCGGATTCCAAGTATTGGACTAGTGTGATCCCAATTGATGGTCAACGGTCAGTGTGACCAATGTCCGCTGAGAGAAACAGGTCAATTAGAATTCATAAAGGGGATCTTTAAAGGAACAGTAAGTGTGCAGACTCCCAGGTTTTCTTCCAAGATCAGCCTGTATTCATCTCCATCCATCTTCCCTGCTAAAGAGATAAGTGTTTTAATTAAGAGTCATTTTCATTTGTATGAATTGTATGAATCTGATTATTCTTTAATGTGTTTCTTTGTTCTGAAACTTGGTATATATTTTATGGTATTTTGGGTTTGTTTAAGTCAAACTGAATCTGCTGAGTTTTTTCTTCAATTCCCTTAAAACTTAATTTCCTCTAACTTTGTTGTTACTAAATGTTTTTTTTTTGTTTTTTTTTGTTTTTTTAAAGATATGGGTCAAGCTTTCTTTTTTCAGAAGTTTTAGGCTTCTTGTTTGCCAACTGCTGTACTAGAGGTGTAGTCAAGTTTTCTTTTCAGCTTCCTAATGCCTTTCTAGGCTGATTTAAGTAAATGTAAAACAGGTCGTTAGAGAGGCAGGAAGAGAAGGAACACTGATGACCCAGGATCCTTTTATGAAGTTAAAATAAACCCCAGGACTTTAGGTAGAAAACAGACTCTTCTGAAAATGTCTGGCTGAAGATCTGGCTTCATGACGGTTCATGCATTGACGCAAGATCTTTCTAGCAGGTAAAAAAAAACTGTGAGAAGAGTGGTTGAGATTATTGACCCAGCATACTAATAATCTAAGATATTTCTGAGGACCTAAACTATATGAATTAGGTGAAAAGTGTCAAAGTAAAGATGGTGCAGGTGCCTTTGTTTAAAAGAAAGAAAGACGAGCTGAGATGGTGTGGGAAGGCAGAGACAAATGACTGTAATTTCCCACGCTATCATTTGTTCCAGTTCAGCTGGAAGGTGGTGATTGAGTTAGAGCTGGCCCTGAATGAGCAGATGATCTATGCATGCTGGCAGGAGGCAGAGACCAGGCTTCAGCAGGTGGGGGGCTAAAGCTCACCGCCATGGGAGTGTTGGTCCACACTGTGATGAATCTTTAACATTAGAAATACCGCTTTGAACTAAAGTCCCATTGGTTCCTATAATCTATGTCAAACATTTACCCTTAGCGGATTCTACCTTAATATTTTGGAAGGACTTGGTTCTGGATGGACAGCTGTTAATCTAAGATCACTAGAGATAGTTAATTCTAGTCCAGGTTTTCTAATGCAGGTACAGATTATTTTAACGTCAGTCCAACAATCCCTGATTCATCCTGCTAATATTTTTGGGCTGATTCCTGAAGCTGATGCTGATTTTTCTTTCTACATTTACAGCATTAAAAAAAAGACACTGTGATTAAAAAAACTTTAATTGGTCTCAATTTAAAGAAAAGAAAGAATCATTAATAAATTAAACTAAACTACAGCGGAAAGCAAATAGAGGCAATGAATGAGCTTCGGGTGATTTTAAGGCCCAGCTGCTAAACACACTAATGAATTATCAGTCCATCTCTAGGTATAAAACCATTAAACAAGCATGTTAGCATACTTAGCTTCTCTCCAATTAGCTAACAACATAAACAACTTTCAACCCTATAAACCCTGAGGGTCTTAGGAGGAAATTCTTACTGAAATTACATATGAGAATTAAAGCAAGTACAGCTACCAAATAATAAATTGGAAAAACAATGGATTTCTATGAAGGAAAGGAATTGAGGAATATTTTTTCACTATCTTAAATGTCACCATGTCTGATTTATAGGTGATTAAACAAAAAAAAGGCACAAAAAAAAATGCTCTGCCTGGCTGTGTGTTTCCTGGCCGCCTTTTACAGCTGCTTTCTGTATCTCTGCTTCTGTCACCTTGAACCCCAGTCGGCCTCAGCAGATGGCCGCTCACACTGAGCCTGGTTCTGCTGGAGGTTTCTTCCTGTTAAAAGGGAGTTTTTCCTCTCCACTGTCGCTTCAAGCATGTTTAGTGTGAGGGATTGCTGAAGAGTCAATGAGTCGATGCAATCAACTGGTTTTCCTTAGAAAGAAAACTTTGAATAAATCTGACTGGATGATCTGGTTGAACTGTAAAGTGCCTTGAGATGAAATGTGCTGTGAATTGGCGCTATATAGATACTGTACTGGTTTGTATAGCCTTAATCGTGTGTTGGTAACAGATTCTAGTTGGGCCCTAAATGTCACTCGAGCACCGCCATAGGGATTTAGAAAAAGGTGGAACAACATTTGATCTGTTCATGGACCTGCTTCTCCATCGGTAATGTCACCAAAAGCCCACAGGTTACCATGGGGATAAACATGGAAGCTCCACATCACAAAATAACCTCTATTGTGCCTGTAGCCTTTTGGCCAATGACCTAAGACCTTCATAAAAGCACCACTTATGCAAAACACCGGGATATGAAACAGGATATTGAAAGTGAAAGAGGACACATATCACGGTTTCACATCTAATAACCCAATTCATCTAACACAGGCTGTCAGACAAAAGGAGGAAATGACTCGGCATTATTGCCCAAGACACCCTGCTCAGAAACAAAATCTTTTTTTACTCTAAATATTCATGATGAGGAAGAAAACTGGGCTCAGATGGAAGTCTTTAATTCCACAGGTTTAGATGCAACAGAATACAGATTCACTAAACCATTACAATCATTTTGCTAGAGTTCAACTGAGGGGATAAATAACAGCCTTCTATAAGGGTCATAGCTGATCAGAACACTTAAAGTAAACAGTTTGACTGCCTCATGCTAAAAAACTGCTTGTTGGTTCCACAGGAGAGGAGTGTGATAACTAATAGCTTTAACAGGAAGCCAGAGAAGAGAAGCTAGGATAGCAGAAAATCTTGACTCCTATAGTAGCAGCCGATGGACCTTCCCAGTCAACCGCTAGCCAAATAGCAGCCAACTTCCAGTCACTGGAGTTTTCCCCCTCCTTCTCCTGGGCGTGCATATACTGCATTTTTACTGACTCCACCCTTTCACTGAATTACAGGGTCTGACCAGGAGGTGACGCTTCTCTTTACATCTTAATGTCCACAAATCCAGACAGAAATAAAATTTTAGTACAAAGATTTATGTTTAAAAAGGAATTGTAGGGGACCAGCCAAGAACCCATCATGGAAATTGGGGGTATTTTGAATGGCTACTACTGTAAATGAATTAGAAAGATTAAAAAGACCTCAACCACTCCCCATTACAAAAACTATCCACTGGACTTTGTTTCCAAGTTTGAAGACGTTTCTCTTCCCATCCAGGAAGCTTTTTCGATTAAAAATGTCAGAAATAGTGTTGAGTTCAAGCCTTTGTAGAGTGGACCAAAAACAGCTTTTGTTTATGCCACTCTATAAGCCTGGAACTAAAACGCTAATCCAGACATTTTAACTTGAGAAAGCTTTGCAGATGGTAAACAAAAAGTCTTCAAGCTTAGAAAAAATGTCCAGTGGAATGACTATAACCTGGATGACTGGGAATCTTCAACAGCATTTAGTTTCATTTAGGTTTAAACAGTAGATTTGTGTAAAAAGCTAAATCAAGAATCTTTCCTTTATTTCTGCTTGTTTTAGTGATCATATCTGCTGTTGTTTTTTTAAACTCTCTGTTATTGTGCATTCACACCAAATGTGAAACTTTTTCTCAATATCCTCTGCTTTTCCTCACCTCGAAGTTCACCTGTAAGCTAAAACAGGCGAACTCAGACAGCGAGGGGAATGCTCCAACACTTCATCAACTGTGGTTGGTTTTATCTCAACATGGAGGACTGACAAGCAGAGCAAAGCCGGCGGCATCAATGTCCCTGGGTTCACCAGAATCCCAGAGAAAGAAATGGTACCATGGCACTGCCTCCTCCTGCAGCTCCGTCAGGATAAAGGTTGCTTCCCCGGCCAGACAACCGGCTGCCCATCCATGACCCGGCTGCCTTACCATGACCCGGCTGCCATTCCATGACTAGAACCTGGATGAGGAGGCCAACAGCGCCCCCCTAAGGAACCACAGCGGCTCATCAGAGTAGTAAGCTGGGAAACAAGAGTGCTGAAGGTGGGGGAGAGGCTGCAGCTGGCTGGAGGTAGCCTCTACAGACTAACAGCCGGAGATGGAAGGAGGACGCCAGTAGGTCAGAGGAGCCTGCCAAACAGACGGAGTGGCACAGAGAAGGTGGTGGGTGGCCGACATCTGCATTGGAGGTAGGATGGCAAAACAGTCCTTCTAGACCTACACTAAATCAGCTTCTTTAAAAGCCACCCTTCCTAGCATTCCTGCTTCATGCTTTACATTATTTTTCTATCCTCCATTTCATCAAAAGAGCTTGCCTCCGCAGCTTCCTTCACTGCAGCTCATCGCCAATTCGGGTCCTTAATGGATTTCATGACCCAAATAAATAGAAAGTTTAGATTTTTCAACTCCTTTCACCGACATACTTTCACCTTTGAATTTAGTTAAATTTCCCCAAATTGGCAGCATTCACATCAATAGATTTTGCCATTTTCGCCTCTCTCTACCCAACTCCGCTCCAGGCCCCCCTCTAGGGCTAACTTTGAGAATTGATTTGCTCCAGCTCCCATTCAGTGTTGACATACCTTTAGTTGTTGCAGAGGGTCTTTCACACTGAACCTGCTGAGATGGAGATTTTCCATTCCATTGTCGCTACATGCATACCCAAAAGGAGGATTACTACAAACGAGTGACACACACTACTGCGGGTCCTCATGTAGAACCCTTTCCATAACTCTGGGTAAGACTCATCAGACCTATCAAATCACATCGGACCAATCGGTCATCGTTTGCCCTGGAATCTGTCCC